GCCGGTGCACATGCATACGCCTCTTTCCCTGAAAGGTTGCCAACGCATCCTTGCCCGTGCGGCCTGCTGCTCTGGCCCACCGCCGACGCAGTCGTTGCACCACGTGGACGTCCAGGGGCAGGGCATTGCATCATCACCGCCTGGCATCTCTCGGACGTGTGCATTTGTTCTCGGCGAGGACCATCGAGGACCATCCTGGACCATCGAGCAAAAAAAACACGCACGAAACCAAAAAATGCACGGGAAATGGACGTCCGAGCGACGGCATGACCGTGGATCCGCGATCTCGTGGTTGGTTGTGACTTTGCTCTGGCAGCCTCGTGCGGGGCACGCAGCGCCTCTTCGCATCTTGCCCCCGTCGTCTTGATCTCACACCTCAGGTTCCGCCGGGGCCGTATCGTTCAGTGCGCACGGGGTCCTCGCCGCCGCCGCCGTGACCTTCCTGGCTGACAGATCGCCATGAGGCTCAGAAGGTCTGCAGACCCGCACGCTACTTTGAACTTCTTCAGCAGGTAACAATTGCATCCGCCAGTCCAATCCCCCTCTTCTGCTTCCTCACCCCGCGGCCACCACAAGGGACGAGGGTGAGGAGAGGGAGACTGGAGTAGGGAAAAGAGAAAGTTATGCGCGCTCGCTCCACATCTGACATGTTGTCTCTCCCTCCCAGCTTTTCCCGTTGCATTGAATCCTCTGGACGCTCTTGAGGTTTTGTAGGTCGACTCCAGTGGCCTGGAATGTCAATCGGAAGCCAGAGGTCGGGGACACACACACACACACACACATTCCTCTTCCTTCCTATATGGTTAAAAGCGGGGGGGGGGGGGGGGGGAAAACCCCTTCACCCCCCCTCCCCCAAAACCAGACCCCCAGAATCTAGGGTTTCCGCGCCCCCGGACACCCTTGCCAAAGGTCCCCTGGCTCGTCCCGGACCTTCCAGGTTGCTTGGCTAGGTCTTGCCAGCAGACCCCAGGCGATCAGAGAGATGATCAGAGAGGCCGAAGAGAGACCCAAGACAGCACAAGAGCGCTCAAAGAAGGGCCCAGATGGCCAGAGGCCCCCAAGACGGCCCAGGAGGCCCTGAACAGGACTCCCAGAATGCAACAATCGTTTCATTCCATCAGGGAAACGCACATGTTCAGCATACTCGC